TATTTTTTAGTCATTTTTAGTACTAAAATTAAATTTTAAACTTATTAATATAACTTTTGATAAGCTAACTAATTTTTAAATATACTAAAATCAAATATAGGTATAGGATTATATATTAGATAAATTTAATTTAAAGTTAATAATAAAAATTTTTAAAAATTTGACCTTTAAAACTGTACTAAATTAAATACATTGTACTAAATTTAGTACAGCATACGGATACCCATTAATTTAAATATTTTTGTTTATTATAGTTATATCTTATTGTCGCATCTTTACTAATGTGTTTACAGCTGAAGGATATAAGCGATTATTTCAAGTTTTATTTCAAGTTATTGAAGAAATTACAGGAGAACATATTAAATTTCATCATATACATAATGATGGATAGGAATGTAACTTAGCTGATTTAGATTATGCCCAATTAAAAGGTCTAGGCATGGCCATTGAAGAAATAGATCGTTCAAAAAATTGGGAGACGCATATATTATATATACTTAAATCGTGCTTAATTCATTACAATCGGTAAAAATTTTTAAAGTTTATTTAATTAATATTAATTAAATTTTAATTTATAAATTTAATTTATTAAATTTAATTTATTTCATAAATATTCGAAATAAAAATTTTACAGAATGTGCAAAAAATTTAATGTATTCGATTCCTCATTGTAATAATAAAGAATCAGTATTCGATATTTTTAATCAATTGTTAGATTTGAATGAAGATAATATACAAGGTATATATTTATATATATATATATTTAATAATTAAATTAATTTATTAATCTAAAATATTAAATTTATTTTAGAATGGGTTGACTACTATCGCACACCTTATATTATATCTACCTTAAATTATTATTGCTCAAAAGTTAATTATACTGCATGGAACGAAGCTGGAAATAATACAAATGCAGCTGAAGTTGCCCATGCATATGCTAATCAGTCTGGAAAACAGTTAAAATTGCTTTCAGCAATTAATCAGTATTTTTATTTATTTATTTATTTATTTTAAAAAAAAAATTTTAATTAAATAATTTTAATTTTAGAGGGAAAAAGTTAGATGAAATAACTATTAATCGAATACAAGTTCATAACAAGTTTGGTGTACCAATTTCACAACGTGATAATGGAGAAATTAAACGTAAATCAATTGCTATGACACGTAAAAGTAAATATATATCTATAATTTAAATAAAATTATTAATTTATACTTAAAATTATTAACAGAAAGCAAAAACAAATCTTCGAATTTTAACAAATCACAACCAAAAAAAAAATTGGTAAAAAAATCACAAGATATAATTACAATCCTTTCGGATTCAGAAACAGAAATGGCATCAAATAAAAGGATTAAAGTTGAATCAAATAAATTGCACAAATTAAAAATCGAAGAACAGAAAATAAACCTTCAAGAACGAGCCATTGCTATCCGTGAAAAAGAAGTTGAATTGCGAAGAAAAGAAGCTGAAATAGTGGCATTAGAATTAGCTAATAAAAAATGCAAAATGAATTAGATCATATTGCGTAATTATTAAAGATACCCAATATTAATATATAAGATTTGCGAAAATATGTAATGTAGAGTTTGCGAAATATGTATGTATAATTTATACTATACATCTATACAAATAACAGTATACATTACACACATATTGGTTTATACAGTACATGTTTTTGTAATACCCCACCTGATGGCGATCTAACACTATTTAGTTCGTACATACTGTATGCACATACGTACGATGCAGGAAATTTAAAAACCTCAATAAGATCGTAAATTTTCTAAATTATCGATCTCAATAAGCGAAGGAATCTCTTTGCATAAAAACAATATTCAAAAAACAATATATATGCAATGCTATTGAGTATGACAAATTAATTTATCTTCATTCTATATAAAGTGATTGAAATTTTTAGATTTCCTGCACATACGTACGTACATATGTTCCTTGAGTTTGGCTCGATGTATAGTAATGCATCACACTGCCTCCAAAAGGTTCATAGATCCTAAACCGACTATATAATTATACATGTTGTTCTTCAAACCAGCCGTAAAAAACTATATCATAGATTTTCGTTTTGCATTACATGGATTCTGAAACTTGAGTCTCTTTCTTTCTTTTTTTTTTTTAGTAATCTGAAACTAAATTTACTACTAAAGCTGCGAAAGGATAATTCTTCGTTTTTTTATCATATGAAATCGAAACTTGGAACGGTCTATCGGCTTTTTTTCTCGCCAGTCCTATAGGACGATTTCGGGAAATTAAGGTTTCACCGGGTAATACCGGATAAATTCGGGAAAAAAATCGAATAATTGGCACAATTGTGCTTCAAAAAAAAAAATCGAACAAATGAAAAAATATTAATGTTCCCCATTGAGCCGGCTTAAAGAACCTCATACTACACCCCTATTGGCTCACATAAGGCTCAATTGACTTACAAGCTGTGTATATATTATATAATTGCATGAATTGTGTGATATTATCAAATATATTATATGTTATACAGCTTATAAGCCAAATAAACCTTATGTGAGCAAATGAGGTGTAGGATAAGGCTCTTTGAGCCGGCTCAATGGAGAACACAAAAAAAATATGGTCGGTCGGATAAAACAAAACGAAAAATCAACTTTTCGTGACTTAAACCATCTTGAATTTGTTCAATGTGCAGTAATGTTGACATACTATCTTCCAAAAGGGTTTATTGAGCCTAAAGCGACTATATGATTAACGTTAAGCTAAAAAAAACTAGCTACACCTATATCACGTGAATAAACCACCAATATATATAAAAGCAAACCCCGCTCTATCAAGTTTAAATGCTATCGCCTATGAAATGACAATCGTTTTCCAAAAGACGCTATTATAATGAATTCAACCATTTTCTCATTACCACTGGTACCAAGATTCCACATACGTACATATGTACGTACAGCAACCAAACAATGGACGTAATTATTTTGAGAATAAGGTTTTTTTTCAAAGCAAATAAATGTACAAATACATTTTAGGT